AGGTAAATAGCAACCGACTTTACTACAAGTATTTAAATCTTAATTATTTTATCCCATAAGCTATCTTCTGTGAACCCATCAGCACGGGACTAATAATCCAATTGGCCCTTTTCGAATTCTGTCGCAACAATATTTTCTCCACTTCGTCCTTCTTCTTCTAACCAAACCGACGCTTTCTTTCAAAAGCTTTCAACTTTCACACACTCTGCTTACCCACCAAAACAAAAACACCAGAAAGATGATTCAGCTGCTGTTCGTAGTGATTTTATTAGAAATGGTTATGATACTGGCGTTTCTGTTCAAGACCCCCTTCAGGAAGCTGGTGATTTTGGGGCTGGATCAGATCAAGCGCGGCCGCGGCCCCGTCGTGGTGGCGACGGTGGCGGCGACGGTGTTTGTGGTACTGATGACCAACGTTTACGGCGTAGTTAAGATCAGGGCGAGCCGGATCGACAAAGCTGCTGTTCTTAGTCCCACCGATCAGGTCCTCTTGATCAAGCACCTTCTCGACGCCACTCTCATGGGTAATTTTCAATTTTATGATTTTTTTTTTTTAATTTTTGTTGTGGGTTAATTTCTAGAACTCAATTGCTATCTGGGTAATTCTTGGTTTTTTGTTTTAGACTTCTAGTGACATAATCTCTGATACTTAGATTTTAGTGTGGAATTCTTGAATGTGCAATTTTTTTTTGTTCTTGTTAATGTTTTGTTGTTTTGTGAGTTGTGATTGAAATGTGGTTTCTTTGATTTGGGAATGATATTGGGTGATAAAAGATTGTAACTTTTTGCATTCCTATACTCAAATCACTGTTACATTGATGACACGAACTTGTAAGAGAAAGTAACTTACTAGGTTATCTGGATCTTAATTAGTTGTTTCTGAGAACCTGTTTTCGAGAACTCAAATTCGAGGCATTATGTTGTTATAGTGACCTGATTCTGAGTTCAGTGGTTTTCAGATTAGTTATATGCACAGGCCGTCAAAAATTGTGTATGCTCATTGCTCACAAATAGTTTCATATTCGCCAATACTACCACATAATCGGGTCGAAATATATCACTTAATTTGAATGCTCAATGTTACGGTTGTTGAGGAACATTTTGTAATTCGAGATGTAATTTTCAGAGCTACTGGTGAATTTTGTGTCTTGTTCACCTTGTTGCCGACTATGGTTAATGTCCGGAATGTGCCTACTGCCTACTTACCACCATACAGCCCTTAGAGCAAGAAACTGGGATATTTTTTCGTTTAATTAAGTTGGAGGCTTAATACTAATTTAATCTGTTAAGGAAAATTATAGGTCCTTCTGTCAGGAAATGATATTGATATTGTAGACAGCAATTTGGTGATATCAGCTGCACTATTGTTCGTATAGGTTGTATCAGCATAGAAGTAATTTGTTTGCTGCTAGAGTCCTGGATTCCTTATTCTTTCTTAAGTGCATTTTTCGGTTTTCATTAGGTCATCAGTAGTTAGATATATTAAATAAAACCAGTGAAGAAATATGGGCTTTGTTTGTACAGTAGCTAATGTTCATGGAGTTTGAATTATTTTTTGTTCACTCCTTTTTTATCTCCTTCCCATCCTTTTGATGAGGATGAAATGAGAAGCAACCAATCTGATCATGCCCTACATATTTGATTAATTTTCAAGTGGTTTCTCATGCTCCTTCTCCCCTTTTGACAATATGTGTAGTAGCTTGTGTTTGCTGACAATAAAAGATAATCACCTAGTCGGGTTAGCCTTAATAATGCATGTTGTGATTTGCGTTGTGATTATATTGGTACAATTTCTGTTTACCAGATGTTTATTTCAGCAGGCTGTTTCATGTTTCATGACTTCCTGTTGCTCTCTGATAGTGACAAAATCTTGTTAGTCATCGACTCATTTGTGTCTCCCATTTGCAGGATGCTCCCTATTTCTTGCTCTTATGATAGACAGACTACACCACTACATTAGAGAACTTCGTCTACGCAGAAAGAGTATGGAAGCCCTTAAGAAACAGAACAGAGGATCTGAGGATGGAAAATCTAGCATTTTGGATCAGATGAAAGTTTCGGAGAATGAGATGGCTACGTTGCGGGCTAGACTCAAACAGCTGGAATCAGATATCGAGACAAAGACAAAAGATGTTCATACTGCAGAGTCCAACGTCCTCGCTCTAAGAAAACAATCGGAAGGGTTTCTTCTCGAGTATGACCGCTTACTTGAAGAAAACCAAAAGTTAAAGAATCAGTTGAAGTCATTGGACTGGAGAGTGTCACGTTCAGGTAGCAAGAAAGATTCATAAGGGATTTTGCCCACATTTTGAGATTTTTAATTTGTTATGTAATTCCATTGAACTGTTTTTGTGAGTGTTTTGAGATGGGTTTATTTATTACATTAATTTGTCATATATGCTAATTATGGGGGGAGAGAGAGGGAGAGAGAGAGGCTTACCACTTGGTATGGTTGATGTAACTAAAAGTTGAGTGTTGAAGTAGAATAGATCAATTATTCCGTTTTGTCTTGATAAACTTGGTAGGGCTGTTCAAATCTATCAACGATATTATGTCAAACTTAACCACCTATTATTAGATGTTGAGTTTTATTACAAAAGCACTTAAAACGGTTTTCTGCAAGAAGCAGTAGTTATGTGCTTCTTACAAGGAGCAATAAAGTGGATTTTTTAAGATTCACTTGTTATTTTACTAAAGATTGGTTCTAAAAAAAGTTCATTAAAAGTACTTTCAGTTATTTTAAAAGCATTTTCAAACGAGCTATTTTGTTTTATAATTGATTACACTCAGAAGTAGACGGGTTTATTGTGTGATTTGAATTGAAGAAGAAAATGTCTGGATTCGTTTCGTAGCGATTTCCTTTGCCACGGTTGATTTAACCATTACCCCCTTTGTGTTTTGGCTACTAGTACTGATGATGATCACAAATAAAAAACCGGCTTCGGCTAGGGAAAAGAAAAGGAATGAAAAGTCCAAAAAACCAGCGTTTTAGCTACTAGGAAAAAAAAAAGGGAAACAAATCAAACCAGTCAAGAGCTGGATTAATTCTTGACACACATTCCGGATTCTGCTTGTAAAATCCCTTACTTCCATGGGATTCCAAACCAACTTACCCAAAAGCCTAAGTATCGTAACCATACGCACACACACACACATGTATAAATATACAGGCCCTTTATGTTTATATATATACGCTCTACATGTCTGCACTATTTGTACAAGGAAAGTTAGTGAACCACCAGACCCATCTAACGAGCTTCTTTGTCGAAGCCTTCTGGGGATATCACTCATGGAGCTTTTAACTCTCACTAGCATGTTCGGCTTGAAATTCGCAAAGGGCATGCTCCAGTTTCTCTTCTTCGTGCACTACGTCGCGATGATCCAAACACCTTTCGAGCGCATTGTCAGTTACTACTGCCTGCTCCTCGACTTCATTCTCATCGGTAGTCTTCATTTTTTTTAGGCTGGGTTTTCTCTTTCTTTCATGTTATTTTGCTCTATCTAATTTGTTTTTACTATATATTAACACGTTTGAGTTGCTTATCTACAGGGTTGTTCCTAGTCCTTGATTTCATCTTGCACCGAGTATGCGAGGATGTCAAAAAACTTGATAGACAAACGAAATTGATGGGGGAACTGCGCAACAGATTTGAAGAAAACAATAATCGCTTGCTTGAGGAGAAAGAAAACCAATTGCAATCGTTGAGCACAAAGCTCGACGAAGTTCAATCCGAGCTCGAGACCAAAACAATAGATGTTTCTGATCTAAGAAACGCATTGGGGGTTGCAGAAAACAAACGTCTACACAAGTGGTTGGAATCGGAAGATATGTTTGTCGGGTTTGATCGGTTGCTTGGGGAGAAAGATGACCAATTGCGATCCTTGAGAACAAGGGTCAACAACGCAGAATTGGAGCGCGACATTAAGGCGAAAGACACTAATGTCGCACAAGCTAATGTTCTTGTTCTAAACAAGTTGATCGGACATGTAATTAAGGAGCAGAGTCTTGTCCATGGAGAGAATGAGAGTTTAAAGCAGCAGTTACAGTTGTCGTCAAACGCCAAACTCAAACTTGATCAATTGCTTGAAGAAAACAAGCTTTTGAAAACAAAGCTCATTAGCTTCAGCCAAGTAGAATCTGAACTCGAGACCACAACCGGAAAACTGAATGATGCAGAAGTAAATTTAAGGAATTTAAGCAACGCATTCGGAGAGCTACTTGATGCGCAAGGTATTGCAATCGAGGCAAACCAAAGTTTACAAAAGGAGCTACAATCTTCGGACACAAGGCTCAAACAGCTACAACATGAGCTTGAGACAAAGACAGGAGAGATTTACGCTGCAAAGGACCGCGCGATCGTGCAAGAGAAACAATCCGAAGAGGCTTTCACTGAGTACGACCGTATGCTTGCGTATAAAAAGGACGAACTGGAATCGTTGAAAACAAAGCTCGACCAACTACAATTTGAGCTTAATGGTGCAGAAGACGATGCTAATTTTATGAGGAATCTATTTGGACGATTACTTGATGATCAAGATGAGGTATACGAGAAAAATAGAACATTACAGAGTTGGTTGCAGGCATCATTCACTACACTAAAAAAGCTCGAATACGAAGTTGCAACAAAGACGGAGGATCTTCGTGCCGCAAACGACGAAATTATGGCTGTGAACAAAGATTCGGATTATTTTTTCCAAGAGTATGTTCGATTACTTGACGAGAACAAGATCTTAGACAGAAGACTGAAGTGGGAGGCTGCCAAGCACTCAGAAGGTGGTAGCGACGATTGATAAGGGAGGGATTGCAGACCAATTGAGATTTATTTTTATTTTTATTTTGTTTGAGTGCTAGTTGTATTTTTCACATTCTAATTAGCCAATTTATGTTGTCAAGTCTTCTCTTTTTCTTTCAGCTTGTGCGCCCGCCTTGTATGCATAATCAGACGGCAAGGCGGGTGCCCAAACGCAATCTTCGGATTTTGTCTAAATGCAAAAAAATGTTATGCACCAAGATGGGCAAGCTCAAAAGGCAATAGACTTGTTTGCTGTATTAAAAAATGGTGAGAAAAGGTAAAACAAGAAGCATGCACAAACAACCATAACTTTTTGTTTACAAAATTAAGATTTGAATAAAATACATAACTTTTACAATTAAAGGCCATCCAAGCCTTTCTCTTACTATGCCTAATGCTAAAGCTAGCTGCATCACAAGCCTCCAAACCCAAACCCAAGCAACTACTAGGATCCGTATTTGTATCCGGATTCGTATTTGTTGGCCTGTCGTAAATACTTTTGGTATACTGTGACGAGATATTGGCCTCATTTGGCGGCGATAAGAGGCACAGCGGCACGTGTTTGGACTGCCCGGCGGCGAGAAGCGGAAAAATGGTGTGTGGTTGTGCTACATCTTGTTTGTTGAAGTTGTCACTTCTAACTGTGACCCAATTTTCTTCATCCGAAGCCCAATTGGGAATTTGTCGAGACGACGCCGCAATGCCTTCACCCAACTTTCGGATCCTCTCCTTAGCTGAATAAACCGAACCACTGCTCTCACGGGTCGGATGCCAAATCTGGTCCGATTCAAATTCCTCCTCTTCCCACAAACGACGATCCAACACGGTGGTGGGACTTAGAAGATCATTGGGTGCCTCGACTACAAATCCATGCTCCAGAAGCTCACCCGCCGACCACCTCTCCAGTGGGTCCCCAATCAAACACTTGGCGACAAAGTCCCTGCCTTGCTGCGAGAGAGAGCTTGGTATCTCCGGCGCATCGCCGGAAAACCCGATTCGGTACAGCGCCGATACCGGGTCGCAAACGTCGTTCCACGGCGCCCGCCCGGTGGCCATCTCGATTATTGTGCATCCCAGAGCCCACACGTCGGCGGCTATCCCCTGTTCCTCCCCGCGCGCCACCTCCGGCGCCATGTACAGCGGGGTCCCACCAATCGGCGAATCACAATCAAAATTCACGAGGCGAGCACAACCCAAGTCGGCGAGCTTCACGTTGGCGCCATTTTCCGCGACCAGAATGTTCCGACACTTGACGTCGCAGTGAGCGATTTGATTGGAGTGGAGGTGTTGCAGTCCGAGCAGAATCTGCTTCGCGTAGCAGCTGATCGCGGCCTCGTCCAGGCACCCGCCCTGCCGTCGGATTGCGTCGGAGATTGTGCCACCAGGCGCGTATTCTAAAAATAAATTGTACAAAACGTCGCCGTTCTCAGTTGAGATGTTGTGGCCTTTGTAATGTACAATATGGGGAGAGCTCAACGTAGACAAAATTGCTCGCTCCTTTTGGAGGAATTGGGATTGTGCGAGCTTGGCTGACTTGACTGCGAAAACCTCGCCGGAGACATGTGACTTGGCAATGGAGACCGTGGCGGAGGAGCCGAGGCCGATGGTTCGGCCCCTAGTCCAATCCATTTAATGACGATAACAAAGGATTAGACGAACAGAACTACACAACAGATAGGAGTTACAAGTTTGGTATGTGTTAAAGTTTGTTTTGGTTGGATTGGGATTTGGGAGGTGGAATATATATGAGTGGAGAAGGTGGTGGTGGTGAGTAAAAATGTGAGGAGTAGTCTTGTGGGCGTGGTTTGGTATGCGGGGTTGGCTTTAGCTTGAGGCCTGGTGAGCGAAGCTAATGCCTTTTCAAACACCTTTCTCACTCTTTCGGCTTTTTTCGGACCAAAGGGCGGGCCGCCGTCTTCTCTAATTCATCTGAGGCCTCCACGTGGTAAAAGGAGGGTGCAAACTGTTTTTGGCCGGCGGTTACGTAAGTTTGGCGTTGGGGACGAATGGGATATGGTTAAAGTAAATTCCACGCATTTGGGACTTGCTTACGTAGTCCTTACGCATTGGGGTGCGAATAGAAAATGAATGGAATATTCTTGTTTGGGAGAGAGTTTTTAGTGTGTCCACAACATGAAGTGGTACTTCATGTTTTACTATACAAGTGATCGAGTGGTGAGATATTTGTGTTAAAAAATTAACAACTTCAAAATTAAAACTTATCTCCAGTTATATAATGACACATGATGTACTACTCGTGTTTCAGACATAATGAGAATTTCTCCTTGTTTGGTGGGATGTATGAGGCCTAATTATGTAGAAAATGGATTGACTTGAATACTCTCTAGTACAACTCCCACTAAGCAACAGCGAACTCATTTTTCTCCCGAGTTGGATGCATAATTTGTGCCCATTTTAGTAATAAGTTTGGCAAGTCTAGGATATGGTTTGGTAAGTGTTGAATACATAGGAGGCAGATTGTCTGTCCTCATGTTATAGTGCCTTTCTTATCCCCTCCTATTTGTGCGGTTGCGGTTAAGCCATGTCAACATTTTATATTGATTTTGTTATAGAGATAATAAGACAAAAAACAATAGGAATATAAAATGTTGACGTGGCTTAACCGTGACCGCACAAATATAAGAGGATGAGAATGGCACCATAACAGGAGGACAGACAATCTGCCTCCAAATACATAAATAAATGGTACAACTTTTTTAATTAAATGATAAAAAATGAGTACTTTTCTTGGAGAATTTCTAATACTCAAAAGTATGGGCATGATAATTTGGTGGAAATATTTTGAGCTGATGTAGTATGAATAACAGTTACGAAAAAAACCGCTAAATAATTACATGATAATTTGGTTTAGCGATATTCATTCTTCAGTGAATTGGAAAATGTATTGAGCACAAATATTATAAACAACAGTTGCTAGCAGTAAACTAGCGACAAATATTCTAATTCTTGACTTCAAAATCAGGAATTAGGTCGGTAACTAATGGAAGTAGTTGATCCAGTTCTCATTTCTTGCTTCTTTTATATATTCTTAAGCTTCCCAATTCTTTTACTTATCTAGTTCATAGTTAACACATGAATGATATTTATTTCTTAACCCTTAAGTAAAAAAAAAACAAACATATAATAGACAAAGGAAAATGGACTTATGTAGATAAAAGAAGGGGTGTGCTATCCACACACCCCATTTTACTTCTCACACACCTCTTGATGATTTCTGTCCGTTGATCTTCTTCAATTCATCCGATCCGACGGCCGAAAATTAAAAAGGTGTGTGAGAAGTAAAATGGGGTGTGTGGATATCACACCCTAAAAGAAAAGGGTATAGTTGAGATGTAAAAGGCAATTAAAAGGATTTTTTGTGTTGCAGTGGGAAAGTGAGTGCATATTGTGCAAAGGAGCATAGGAAAGGAGGTGGACAGTAGGGATGACCAATAATTTAGTTGTAAAAGCCGCCAAACCAAAACCCCAACTCATATTCTTACATGCATCCTCTCAGTTTCTTCGTCTCCGCACGAACCAAACCAAACACCGAACGATTTCACCAACCAGCTTGGTCTGGTCAGGTGGGTCCGGTAGAAACCTAGAATTAATAAGTGAGTTGAAAACTTGCAACCGTAGATGGTTTGCAGCTCACAACGTTGTAACGTAACCTTTGGCCTTTCTTTGCTTTGCGTGCGCAAAATATATGGTGTCAATGTGCATGCACGAAAATGAATCATGATTGATGAGTGTGTTTGTTCGGTATCGTACCTTGTGATTTATGTCGCTTCCAAGCAACCCTATCATATTATTGTTCACATGCATGCATGCCACCTATCCCTTCTTTCTTTCTGTTTTTCTTTGCCCTCCTCCTCGTCCTCCACCTCCCTTTTATTTGTCAGCTTTTGGCAAAGCTTTTTAGCCCCACCTTTGTGCTTCGTGAATCATGCGTGACAAAACGTTTCCTGAACTTGTGCGGCACACCTACTGTAAAAGACATCATTCCTTCTTTAGTTTAGGCTCCTTTTAGATAAGGTAACGGTAGAGAGATGAAAATTATAGACAAAATTTTGAAAACTAAAGGAGATTGATTTATTACGTAAGTGGCTTATTACGCGTTGATAAATGTGTTTATTCCTATTGATGATACATCATTTAGTTTATAAATTTTATCTCCTAATTTAGTCTCTCTAGCATTACCTTTTTATATATGATTAGGTTCAGTTTTTCTAGATTACAAACACCTATTAAGTACAAACACTTTTAAATAACATGTCGGTTGTTCAAAGTCAGACGCTCCATTCTCTATCACTTTACAGTTTAACCTTAATTTCCTGTCCATATTATAAAACTTTATACTAAAAACATGAGGTGATTAAAGTGGAGCTACACAAGCTCATTGGGCCAATATATATATCACTCAATGAGCTGTGAGATGATGAATGAATTTCATCATGCGAATAACTTGGCCTCAAAGCCAATGGAATGGAACCATATCAAGGATCATACACCAATTCACGTCAACACAAACTTTTGCGTAACGTCTAAGTTTGTTCTATCCCATTACAACCTAATATTCATCCCAAGTACAATATGTGGGGGAGAATGTCTTGAGTTCGGCTACTCTACGGGGCAGCACTTGGTGAGACCTACATGCTGAGCTCCCACCAAGAGTAGATTGTTGCCTCATAGGCTCCACACAAGTTTCTCCAAATTGGGTCCTCCACGCTCTTTTATTTTTCAAACAAATCGTTGCCTTCACTCAGCTATCGACCAAAACCAACCTATATGCGTCAGTAATGTAAAGTTTTATCATGAGCAAATTTCATATGGTTGAAGAAAATATGGAGATTAATGCTTCTACTTAACAGCTGAAGCCCGTAATTTTGAGATATTACTAGAAAACATTGCACAATTTACTACATGCTCTCAAACTTATAACATATGATACCAGATTACAAACAGTTGTATTTACAAACACTAGGTTTACGCCGACGCCAACAAACACCACAACTAATTGCAATTTGCAAGTTTTAACCACTGGATCCCTTTACATACAGAGGTACATATATGAAAAGTAAACAAAGATGAGCATATGCATCAAATAATATCAAGAAGAGGGGTCGGTCCCAAGGCCGTTCTTTATGCAGCATCTGCAAATCCGACTCTCATCTTGCCATAATCGAACACGGTGTGGTAACGACCCATGAATATATCTCCCAAGATCCTGCATTGCACCACCGCAAAGTGAGAATCAAAGCAGGTTTTATCGTATATAAAGCTCGACAAACGAGTTCAAGTGTTGACTAATGTGATAATACCAGAGAGGTCCGCGGGGACGAGGGATATCCAGGCTAGTGAATCCACTTATGCACTGAGCTTGAGCACCCTCGCCGACCTTAAGTATGTACTGCTCAAACCAACGGAGAAATTAGCAGAAGCGCAAAGGTAGCTTGCACTACAACTTTAGTCATGCAAATTTATTCACACCAAAATTCGCCTTAAACCACAGGAAAAGTGTACCAGTATTGTCATGAAAACGCACATTAAACTATTCGTCGAGAAACTATGGGTAAATAGAACCCAAACACTAATTTTTCTAGTGTACTAAAAGAGAACATTAGATTCCTCATTCGCTGATCTTAAACAAAGGGAACCAGATAGCATTACATAGATGGTCTTAAGAGATATACAAGCATGTAGCTAAAGGATAAATTGGGATGTTGTCGTACCTCATCTGAAGTGAGCTTAAAAGCCCTACCGCCAATGGTGAAGGAGACGGGAGGCATGGAAGAAAGCTTTCCACAGTCGACAGTAGATTGTCCCAATGTGTCTGGCATTTTTTCACAAAGCTGCGGAGTTATAACATCGTGGAGTCAGAAAGAGAAGTGATGCGGGTTACAAATATAATCAAGTTTTGTGAAATTTCTGCACCTCATTGACGTAGTTCAAAATACGATCTTGCGTAATATTCTTCTTAAGCTCGTTTTGCATCCAGACAACTGCCATTTCACACGCAGAGCATGAAGCATCATGAAGAATGCCAGAAGATTTGCCGTTTTTCTCATCCACCACGCTCTCAATGCCCATGCTGAACAAGCACAACAGTAAAACAATAAACTATTACCTAATGAAGGCAAGCCCAAGAACAATAAGAGCAATAAAAGGACATCTTTTGAGCTGACCTTACACTACGAGTTCCGTCAAAGGTGCACACTCCAATTTGAGAACAAACCTTCTTTGGTTGGACCTGTTGGAGAAAGTACGCAAACCAAATGAATTACAATCGTCTCCACTCGTGTGCACAAGAAACAAAGTGCAAACTGGAATAACATAAATCTTGAATTTACCTCATGAGCTACGAGTAAATCAAGAATGGTTCGCCCATACTGGTTAACAACCGCCTTGCATTCCTGGCTAACAACACCGCTGGCTCCAATGGCTTGATTTATCTTCGTAATTGAAGTCTTTGTATATACGTATAGAGAAATTTATCGATAGGGAGATTGTCATTACTAATGCAGCTTTGTAAAACTATGCAAAAAACAAACGGACGCAACGCAAACAGAAGCTGGAAGAACATAACGAGCACAAGTACTTCATTCAATCTATATACACGAAAAAAGGTCAGTAACGTGCTCATATTTCTCTCTTTCTGCTTCAATCAGAACATTCATCATGCGAAGTTAAAAAGTGAACCTGACCTAGCTAATCCAACAACCTAGATAAAATTATTTACACAAAACATGCACCAATCAAAGGATTAATCAATAAAAAAACAAAGTAACAACTAAAATTTGGATTACATACCGATGGACCTGTCAAAAGAGAAGTTCCAGAGTCTGCAATTGCGAAACAGCCACCAGCACAAAATCCTGAACAGCAGAATAGTTAAGTCAGAACAACGGGGGCAAT